GTACAGAGGGGTCTTCTGTGGAAACAATTGGTGTTTCGTCCCATTTGTTGAAGGTGTTGTGTTGTTTTCCCTCGGTACTTGGTACCGAGGGGTCTTCTGTGAAACACTTGGTGTTTCTCCCCATCCGTTGAAAGTTGATAGTGGTGTGTCCCCCCGGCACCAGGTGCCGAGGGGTCTTCTTTTGAGGACAGGTGGTACTTATTGTAGGTGATAGTATTGTCGGCCCTCGACACTTGGTGCCGAGGGTTCTTCCGTTGTGGTAAGGCATTGGGCCTGGGGGCTTGGCCCTTGTAATAATCTTGTTCCATGTTCTCGGTTTCTTCGAAATGTCTTCATTCTTCAGAATTTTTAGGCCTTGGGCCGGAAAATAATACATTCACTAGTTATGAGGGCTTGGCCGCTCTGATGTTATTGATAAAATTTAACTAAGTGATGTACATTCCAGTGCCTAGGGACTTCAGTCCCGTTAGGGCATTTTAGCTTGTAAGTTCCGGGTTTGATGATGGCTGCCACGATGTAGGGGCCCTCGAACTTTGGCGCCATTTTTCCACCCTCGGTTGGTTGGCTAGCTTCCCTTCTTCGGAGAACATAGTCCCCCACTTGGAATTCCCGGGAGCGAACCTTGGCATCAATGTAACTTTTCACCTGCCTTCGGTAGTTTTCTGCGCGTATGAAGGCTTGCTTTCAGCGTTCTGAAATAAGGTGGAGATCGAGGGCCATATTGGCGTCGTTGGCCTCTGGATCATACTGTGTGGCCCTTCGGGTTGGGAGAGTTACCTCAGTGGGGGCTTTGGCTTCAAATCCGTAGCAAAGGGAGAAGGGTGTCTCGCCAGTTGCCCGTCGAGGGGTGGTACGGTAGGCCCATAAGATGTTGTGGAGCTCTTCCACCCAACCACTCCATTCGGCCTCCAGCTTCTTCTTTAGGCCCTCAAGCAGGGTCCTGTTGGCGTTCTCCACCTGACCGTTGCCCTGAGGGTAGGCAACAGATGAGAAGGTGTGTTTGATGCCCCATGCCTCTAGGAGGGCACAGAAGGGGGCTGCCTCAAACTGAGTCCCATTGTCGGAGATGATTTGCTGAGGGACGCCAAACCTTGTGAGGATGTTCTTGAGAACAAAGTGACGGCACCTGGCCTCGGTGATGCTGGCAAGGGGCTCCGCTTCCACCCATTTGGTGAAGTAATCGATGGCGACAATGATGTACCTGTTGTTGGAGGTACCCCTTGGCAGAGGGCCCACAAGGTCTATGCCCCATCGAGCGAAAGGTATGGATGTGCTGATGGGGGCATAGTTGACCGCTGGCCTGCTAGGGGCTTTCTGGAAGTGCTGGCATGCGGGACACCTCCGGGCAAGGTCCGCACAAACCCGGGCCATCGTAGGCCAGAAGTAGCCCTGGATTATCAGCCTTCGGGACATGGAGAAGGGTCCCTGGTGAGCTGAGCAAGTCCCACTGTGCACTTCCTTCATTGCTACTTCGGCTTCATCTTGATGAAGGCACCGAAGTAATGTCCCGTTGTATGATCTTTTGTAAAGCCTTCCGTCCTCGATAACGTAGCTGGGAGCCCCCAGTTTTGTCAGTTTGGCGCGGGCCTCCTCCTCAGGTAGTTGCCCTGTGGTGATGAAGGCAGCAATGTCTGAGATCCAGTCCTCCTGTCTTTGTTGTATGTTCATGACGGGGCTAGCATGTATGCTGGAGAGGCTGAGTTCTTCCACCTTGGCAATCTTCGAGATATGCTCAGGGGATTCTGCCGAGAGCTTTGATAGAATGTCGGCCTCAGAATTTTGAGCCCTCGGTATTTGAGTAAGAGAGTGTGCCTCAAATACCTTAAGCAATTCCTTGGCCGCCTCCTTGTATTGCTTCATTCTCCCTTCCTTGGCTTCGTACTCTCCGGAGATTTGTCGGGCCTCCATGTTAGCTGCCAGCCAAAGGCCACAGAGGAGGGCTTCGTATTCGGCTTCATTGTTGGAGACTTTGAAGGAGAAACAGACTGCATAATAGGCCCGGAAACCCTCGGGTGAGATGAGAACCACCCCTCCTCCACATGCCTTGATGGCGGAGGAGCCGTTGGTGTAGAGGATCCACCAATCATCTGAAGGGGCCGAGGGCTCCTCGTCCGTGGCTGCCCTTGCCGTACACCCCGTCACGAAGTCCGCTAGGGCTTGGCCCTTGATGGCGGGCCTAGGACGGATGTCGATGATGTATTGGCTCAAGAAGACATCCCATTTTACCATTCGGGAGGAGCTAGTGGGGTTCCTCATCAAGGCGCCGAGGGGTTGGTGAGTGAGGACCTGGACCGGGTGAGCCTGAAGTAATGGCCCAACTTCTTGACGGTCCACACGATAGCCAATACTCTTTTTTCCACGGGGGAGTACCGGAGTTCCGCCTCCCTGAGGGTCTTGCTAACATAGAAAATGGCATGTTGGATGCCATCTTCTTCCCGGATGAGTACTGAGCTGATGGCAGCCGGGCTAACACCCAAGTAGAGGTACAGGATATCCCCTACCTTGGGTTTAGAGAGCACAGGGGGTGAAGATAAGTACCGTTTCAACTCCTCGAATGCCCCCTGACATTCTGAAGTCCACTGGAAACCGGCGGTTTTCCTCATGATCTAGAAGAAGGGTAAGGACTTCTCCGCCGATTTTGATAAGAAGCGATTGAGGGCTGCCAGGCGGCCCGTCAATCATTGGACCTCCTTTACGTTGCGTGGGGGCTCCATGTTGATAATGGCCTGAATTTTCTCTGGGTTGGCCTCGATACCCCTTCGGCTCACCATGTAGCCCAAGAACTTGCCACCCTGGACGCCGAAGGTGCACTTCTTTGGGTTCAGCCGAAGGCTAAACTTCTGCATGATGGCGAAGATCTCCCTCAGGTCGTCAGCATGGCTTGCTGATTGCTTGCTCTTGACGATCATGTCGTCAACATATGCCTCCATTGTGCGCCCTAGGATGGCTTGGAATACCCTGGCCACCATCCGAGTATAGGTGGCACCTGAGTTCTTTAGGCCGAAGGCCATGACGAGGTAGCAGAAGATGCCCTCGGGAGTCATGAAGGCTGTTTTTTCGGCGTCTTCCTCATGCATGTATATTTGATGATATCCGCGGAATGCGTGTTGTTGAGATCCGTGTAGTCCATGCACATGCGGAATGAGGGTGGTTTCTGTGCGAGGACCACGTTTGCCAGCCATGAGGGGTACTTTACCTCCTTGATGTGCCTGATAGAGAGGAGCATGGCGACCTCCTTCTTCACAAATTCCCTTCTCTCGGCCGAGAGGGGTCTCCTTCGCTGCTGTACTGGTTTGGCCGAAGCGTCCACCGAGAGGCGGTGGGTGATGACCCTTCGGCTGATCCCCGGCATGTCCTCCGGCCCCCATGCAAAAACAATGGAGTAGGCTCGGAGGGCGCTGATGATGCCGGTCTTCAAATATTCGGGGAGCTTGGCTCCAATCTTCACGACTCTCTCCGGCTTGGCCGGATCGAGCGCGTAGTCTTTTACCTCCTCGGCTGGTTCAGCCCTCGGCCTCCTTTCTTCCGCTTCCACAGTTCCGTTGATGGTCACAACGCGGAACTCCGTCTTGCTAAACTTCTTTGTAACTTGAAGGTAGCAAGCGCGGGCAAGCTTTTGGTTCCCCCTTGAGTAACCAATCCCCCCTTCGGCTGGGAACTTGAGGCAGATGTGCCTCATGGAGATGACGGCCTCGAGATCCTCGAGGGCTGGCCGGCCGAGGATGATGTTGTGGGCGCAGTCGATGTTGACGACGACGAACTCCACTTTGAGCTTGGCTCTATGGAGGCCGTCGCCGAAGATGACCGGGAGGGTTATGACCCCCTTGGAATCAATGGTGTCGCCGGTGAAACCGGCAAGAGGGGTCTTGATGGGCCGAAGGGACCCCTTCTCCAGATGCAGCTCTCTGAAGGTGCTGAGGTACATCACATTGACGGAGCTGCCCGTGTCAATGTAAGTTCTGTGAATAATAGTGTCGCTGATCTCTGTGCGGATGACGAGGGCATCCCTGTGGGGGGAGGATACTGGGGGGAGATCAGCGTTAGTGAAGACAATGGGTTCCTCCCTCAGCCGCTTTACTGGGGGCATATGAGTGACTTCCCCCACGTAAAGTGATTGAGCCCACTTCTTTCGTTGACTTGTAGAGTCACCCCCGGTATTTCCCCCCGTGATCATGAGGATGTGGCGTTTCTTTTCTTGGTACCGGGGGTACTCCTCCTCCTCTTACTCCAGATTTCCAATCTCCCTCTTCTTGCCGAGGGGGATGGTGTTGGGGTCGACCCATGCATTCGCTCTCGCAGTTTGCCCTCGGGGTGGCCCTCTGATGAGGGGGGGTCTATTGCTGAGGGCCCTGGACAAACCGGGACAGATGGCCCGCTTGTATCAATCTCTCGATGGCCGTCTTCAGCTGATGGCAATCATCGGTCATGTGCCCCTGGTGTCGGTGGAAATGACAGTAGGGGTAGTTTGGATTGATTGCAAATACTTCCGAGGGCGCGCGTGAATCTCGCTCCACGAGGCCCCTTTTTTCAGCAAAATCAAGAATAACGCTGACGGGATGCGTCAATGGTGTCCGAGGGTGCTCCAGGAGGACAGGCTGTGCCCAAGCCCTCGGGTTCCCCTTATAGCCTCCCCCGGGCTTGGCTTGGCCATGCCGGGGGCGATCACTGGAGGGGGCAGAATCCCTGGGATGATTGCGGGGAGCCCCCGGCCCCCGGTTACCTTTGTCTTCTGGCCGAGGGCATTGCTGATCCGGGACATGGTGGCATTTCTCCACCTCCTCGGCCTCGGCGTACCGGTCCCCCCGCTGTAGGGCCCTTATATAATCGCGGGGGGGGGGGGGGGGGGTTCGATGATGAGGCTCCTTGTGTCACGCCCCGGACCTACCCGGACACGTCAACAACCCGCCGTACAGTACGAATAGTCAACCGCAGTCCGACTCATCCATACTATACAAGGCGTCTTGTATACCATTCACACATAGCACATCCATAAACAAACATAATGTAAAACATTTGTTAAAGCAGCGGAAACAATTGATACAAGTGTTCAAGCCACACTTGGCATAATTAGGCATGCAAGCCCCCAAAGTAATTATTCAGAAAATATTATCCATGAGCATTATTCATATTGTTTTCAAAACGAGAACGGAAGAAGCACGAACCAAGTCTTCTTCTCAGAAACTTCCCGAACAGCGGCTGGTAGTAGCAACCTTCAAGTTCTACCTGAAACTGTGAGGTGGCCTCCCCCATGAAGAGGAGGTCAGTACTTGGAAGCATTTGACAAGTACAATGACAACTATACTAAGTATAATCGAAGTTTAAATCTCTAAGGCCCTCAATCTAGAGCATCATTACATTATAGTTAATCCGTTCATTTAGTATCAATTCATCATTATTTACTACGGTCTAGAGCCCATCTCATAATCACCGTTATCTACTACGGTCTAGAGCCCCGCTCATAATCACCGTCATCTACTACGGTCTAGAGCCCAACTCATAATCACCGTCATCTACTACGGTCTAGAGCCCAGCTCATAATCACCGTCATCTACTACGGTCTAGAGCCCAGCTCATAATCACCGTTATCTACATCGGTCTTGAGCCCGGCTCATAATCACTGATTCTTTATAATTCAAATTCTTAGGATCTAATTCATCCATTTCTCAGCTAACATTTCCAACTAATATTTCAATGCTAGTTATTTATTTATTTCAATATAATTCTTTCTTCATGCATGATTTGCCTTAATATCAAGTATCACTTTCATACCTTCATGGCTTCTCCTCATGGTATCAAGTATACTATCTCAAATGAAATTCATGGTTGGTACAACCATCATACACACATAATCATAACATCTAAACATACACAATTTATTCATAAATTTGTGTATCATGCATACTATACTTAAAATCAATAGTAGTTTTATTTAGGCATTAATAACCATTAACAACCCATGCACATCACATTTGTATTCACTTAGGAAATTCCATGAAATTAACCCAAAGATTATAAGTAACATAGTCGGTCATCCTCACCATAATTAAGCTTAAGCGCGTTCTATGCTTCTCGATTGAACTTTGACTAATTCCGGTGAACTTTGACCAACTCCGGCGAACTTTGACCAACTCCGGCGAACTTTGACCAACTCCGGCGAACTTTGACCAACTCCGACGAAACTCCGGCGAAGCTCGAAAATACTTTAAATCAAGTTCCTTAATTTTCACACTTTTTCCTAGCTTTTTCCTTCTTAAACTTTCTTCTTGGACTCCCTTGAGCTTGAGTTCGGATTTGGGGCTATGGAGATGAAGTTGTAGAGGTTCCTTCCTCCTTTCCCTTGCTGCTGGCCGAACTAGTGAGGAGGGGGATGGGTAGGAATGCCCCTTTGTCTCCTTTTGGGCAATGAGTGAAAGGGAGGAGGGCCACCATGATTTGTTTTGATGCCAAACATCTCAAATCAGTCCTCTCCCACCTCAACTCTCCTACCAGCCTGCTCAGGCCCTGAATAATGAGGCTAAAATCGTGGGTTGGCCCCCACCCATGTGGGAGGTCAACCCTTTTTGTCCAGAGGTGTACAATCGGTCCCGAAAGTTGTATTTTTCCGGACTGTTTTAAGTATATTTTATTTTATCGGGTCAAATAAAATATAACACTTGTTCCCAATTCTTAATGGACCTTAGAATCAATATGCATCCCTCAACTTTAATTTAGAAGTCTCCGAAATCCCTTTTTGGGCTGTTATCTGATAGATTGCCGATACTGATAATTTGGCCCCGTTTGACCAACCGGTCAACCCTATGCCATTGTCATGGCTCAACTAGGATATCCACCACCATATACATATTATCTAGTCCAAGATCAATATAATATGTGGCCCCGATAATATCGGGCGGTCCCCACTCCCGATGTGGGCCCCACGTGCATTTTACTATTCACGCGAAAAAAAATTAATACAAATTCACAACTTCGTAAATTCACTAAAAATTTCATAGGGTTCAATAAATTATTAGCTTAAAGATAAATACATTTGGGGACGGTGTTACAAGTTCACCCCCCCCTTATTTGGGATTTCGTCCCCGAAATCCACGTGTCTAATCGAAAAGGAAAGGGTATTGCTCCCTCATTGAGACTTCAGTCTCCCAGGTTTCTTCTTCGACTCGATCACTCCTCCAAAGGATCTTTACCATAGGGATCTCCTTGTTCCTCAGTTTCTTTACCTGTTGACCCACAATCTTCACCGGTTCCACCGCATATTGTAGGTCTTCACGTATCTCTACCGGTGGTTTCTCAAGGATATGAGACGGATCTCGCACGTATTTCTTGAGCATCGATACATGGAACACGTCGTGTATCTTCTCAAGTTCTGGCGTCAATTTGATACGGTAAGCCACGGCCCCTATCCTTTCAAGGATTTCAAATGGGCCAATGTATCGGGGGTTAAGTTTTCCCCTCGATATAAATCTGATGATACCTTTCCAAGGAGAAATCCTTAGAAAGACCTTATCACCGACCTCAAACTCCAATGGCCTGCGTCGTTTGTCAGCATAACTCTTCTGCCGATCTTGGGCAGCCTTGAGTCTCTCCTGAATGACCTTCACCTTAGCCTTGGTGATTTCGACAAGTTCGATCCCCTCGAGCTTGGCTTCGCCAACCTCGTCCCAACACAACGGGGTTCTACATTTCCTCCCTTACAATGCCTCGTATGGAGGCATGCCAATACTCGCCTGATAACTGTTGTTATAGGCGAACTCGACCAGAGCCAAATGCTTGTCCCAACTCCCTTGGAACTCCAGAGCACATGCCTTAAGCATATCTTCCAGAATCTGTATCACCCTCTCGGATTGCCCATCCGTCTGTGGGTGAAAGGTTGTGCTAAACTTTAGCTTCGTACCCAAAGATGCTTGAAATTTTGGCCAAAATCGGGATGTGAAACGTGGGTCCCTATCCGAGACAATGGATATCGGAACTCCATGCAGTCTCACAATCTCCTCCGTGTATAGCTTTGCCAATCTTTCAAGAGGATAAGTAATGTTGATAGGCAAAAAGTGTGCACTCTTGGTGAGCCTATCAACCACTACCCATACTGCATCATAGTTGTTCACTGTTCGTGGTAGCCCCACCACGAAGTCCATGGTCACGTGCTCCCACTTCCATTCTGGAATGGTAAGTGGTTGTAAAAGTCCCGCTAGGTGCTGATGTTCCGCCTTGACTTGTTGGCAAGTAAGGCACCGACTCACGTACTCTGCGATGTCCCTCTTCATACCCGACCACCAGTAACTTTCCTTCAAGTCTCGGTACATTTTAGTACCTCCTGGATGCATGGCATACGCCGAAGAATGAGCCTCCTCCAGTATAGACTTTTGGATCTCCTCATTCCTTGGTATGCATACACGGCCTTTAAACAATAAAAGACCGTCATCACGTACCCGAAAGTTCTCAATAGGTCCCTCCAGGATTTGTTCACGGATCTTCTGACATTCTTCATCAGTGGCCTGACATCTACTGATCTCACTCAGCAATGTAGGCCTAACCTCGAATCTAGCAATGAGGACCCCACTCGTGGACACCTCCACTTGTGCCCTTAATGAGCGTAGACACGCGAGTAACGTCCCCGATGTACTCTTTCTGCTCAGTGCATCAGCTACTAAATTAGCCTTCCCGGGATGATAGTCGATGATCAAGTCATAGTCCTTGATCAACTCCATCCATCTCCTCTGTCTCATATTCAACTCTTTTTGAGTGAATACATACTTCAAGCTTTTATGATCGGTGAAAATGTGACACGTCTCCCCATAGAGATAATGCCGCCAAATCTTCAGTGCAAACACTACCGCTCCCAACTCTAGATCGTGGGTAGGGTAGTTTGCCTCGTGTTTCTTCAATTGCCTTGAAGCATAGGCAATCACCCGACCGTTTTGCATTAGAACACATCCAAGCCCTTGGATGCTAGCGTCACTGTATATGTCGTACCCTATCCCTTGTGTGGGTAGAGCGAGGACTGGTGCTTCTGTAAGCCGTCTCTTTAGTTCGAGAAACCCTTTCTCACAATTGTCGCCCCATGTGAACTTGGCCCCTTTCTTTGTGAGCTTTGTCAATGGAGACGCCAATACAGAAAATTTTCAACAAACTTACGATAATATCCTGCTAAGCCGAGGAAACTACGTATTTCTTTCACGTTTTTGGGTCTCTCCCAATTCATAATGGCTTCTATCTTGGCTTTATCCACCGCAATGCCCGAACCTCACACGACATGCCCGAGGAACCCGATCACTTTGAGCCAAAACTCGCATTTAGAGAATTTGGCAAAGAGTTGTTTTTCCCTTAGCCGTTCAAGTACAAGTCTCAAATGATCTTCATGCTCCCCCTCACTCTTGGAGTATATCAAAATATCGTCAATGAATACTATCACGAATTGATCTAAGTATTCACTGAACACACGGTTCATCATGTCCATGAATGCCGCCAGGGCGTTGGTTAGCCCGAACGACATGACTAGGAACTCGAAATGACCATACCTTGTGCGAAATGCAGCCTTCGGTATGTCATCTTCCTTTATTTTCAGTTGGTGGTACCCCGACCTCAAGTCAATCTTTGAAAACACCGTCACCCCTCGGAGCTGATCAAACAAGTCATCAATTCTAGGCAAGGGATACCTATTCTTGATTGTGACCTTGTTCAGTTGACGATAGTCAATGCACATACGAAGTGTTCCATCTTTCTTTTTCACGAAAAGGACCGGTGCTCCCCACGGAGAGTGACTCGGCCTTATGAAACCGTTATCCAATAGCTCTTGCAATTGGGTTTTCAACTCGTTAAGTTCAGCGGGTGCCATTCTGTATGGCGGTATAGAGATTGGTTTGGTGCCGGGTTCGACCTCGATCACGAACTCAATCTCCCTATCGGGTGGAAGTCCCGGCAAGTCTTTTGGGAAGACATCCGGATACTTGCACACAACTCTCACATCATTGATGTCTATCTCTTCTTTGGTTTTGTCCACCACATACGCTAGGTATGCGTGGCACCCCTTTCTCATCATATTCCTTGCTCTCACGGCGGATATGATACAACAGTTTGATTTGCCTCTATCTCCGTCGAAGCGTAAGGTCAACCCTTCGCCGCCTTCGAGTTCAAGAACCTTCGTGTGGCAATCGACCCTAGCATGATGTTTCTCAAGCCAATCCATTCCTAGAATTGCATCGAACTCGATCATACTCAGCGGTACGAGGTCACACGTCAAGGTTTGGCCCTCCACTTCCACCTCACACGATGGATAGTGGCTATCTCTCTCGATATCATCCCCTAAAGGCGTGGACACCAATAGGGTTTGAGTCATCGGTACAAGTGGTCCGTTGAATCCGCTGGCGAACGCCTCACTCACAAATGATCGTTGCGCCCCGGTATCAATAAGGATTCTTGCGTCTCTCCCGTTTATCTTTAGTGTTCCTACATTCATAAGTAATGTAAGACACACTATCTAATTAATAGGTTCGTTTCTTAAGTCGTAGAGTATGTTGGTTGTATTTCGGGTGGGGTCCGTTCGATACCCTTCCGAAATTTCCCGGTTTCTAACCTTTAGGACCGTTTTAGGACCAATCCAGGTGAAAGCCGGCCGCTTTTCACGAAAGCCGGCCGGTTTTCGACTGCGAGAAAAAATTCTAAGTACTTAATCACGAAAGCCGGGCGGCTTTTACGAAAGCCGGGCGGTTTTCGTCGCCGTAGTTTTTATTCAGAGAGTGGTTTCGAAGCCGGCCGGTTTATACGAAACCCGGCCGGGTTTCAGCAGCGCAGGAATTCCTATGCCCGACGAAAGCCGGGCGGCTTTCGCCAAAGCCGGGCGGCTTTCAGCTGCGAGAAAATTCTCAGATCAGGCCTTTATGAAAGCCGGCCGGTTTTTACAAAAGCCGGCCGGTTTTTGGTTGCGAGGATTTTCCTGATTAATTGATGACGAAAGCCGGGCGGCTTTTGGTGGAAACCGGCCGGCATTCGTCCCCGCAGCATTTTCTCAACATTTCAAGACGAAAGCCGGGCGGCTTTCGTCAAATGCCGGGCGGCATTCGCCCAGGGCGGGGGTTTTTCCCTCCCCTTTTCCCCACAATCCCGACCAAACCGTCGGGGTTACAAATTTTGCACCTTACAAACACTCCTATTGCATACAATAGTGTAATATCGTGAGTTTAAGATCTTACCCGCCACGGAGTCCGAGTTAGCGCGTGCGTCCGCCTCCGTCATCGCATAAACTCTAGCTTGAGTTCTTCCTTGATTCACGGACGGCGCATTACTCGTGCTTGCTCCCCCTGGCCCACACTGGCATGAGATGCTCCGGCCCGGTTCTTACTTGCCGTGGTAGTGC